CCCGCCCCACACACACACTTCAGTCCCCACAAAGTACAATAAGCACCGGGCTTGAACGTGCCCAGTCTTGGTTGGAGTGTTTGTCGAATCCCTTAGCAAACACTAAGAAATCTAAAGTACATTCCAGAAAACCTGTGCTTTTCTTTTCTTCCCTTTTTGTAGCTGCTGCGGAGGAGCGTGGACAGAGGGCCAGGTGCTGTGTGGCTTCGCCCGATCTTTACCAGGTCAAGGATTCCTGACTCGGTATGTGCTGCTGTGGTTGGGAAACTGAAAACAGATGTGAGGCTCCAGCCTTTCTTTGGCACAACAGCTTTCTATAGATGGCTGTGAATACAGAGGAGTTTATACAGCCAAAGAGACTGGGAGCTTTGCTTAAATGTGTAGTTTGGCTTGTTTTTCTGAAAAAAAAAAAAAATATATATATATACATTTTTTTTTCCTGAAATCATTAGGGGGGGGGGGAAATCATAGATTAAACAGGTGCTTGCGCTAGATGCATGTGGATTAAATACTGCATAGGTATAGTGTGCTGTTCTTACATGTCGATGCAAATTGAGTTATTTAGTTGTGTATAATAATAATTCAAATATTTGAAAAACAAACCTGTGTTCTTGTGAACTTCTTAATCTAGGTATTTCAGCCGCGACCTGAAGATCATGAAAAGTATGGAGGTGACCCTGAGCAGCCGCATAAAATCCACCTTATTACTAGAATAAAAAGTGTAATTGGCCGCCCATATTGGGAAAAGAAGATAATACATGATCTTGGACTAGATAAAGTATGTGAGAGTGATGGTTGTCTGTTTGCTTTTGTTTCTGATGTATGTCAGCAAAGCAGAGACTTTTTTTCCAAACTTGGTTTACTTTAGTGCAGCTGTAAAATAACTGAGAAATTGATTCTGTGTTTAGGAGCTGAGAGGAACATTAATGGCAAATGATCGTTTATTAGGAACTCAGAATATCGTTGTATGACATTTCTATGTGAAAAGATCTATACCTTGAGAGCTCCTCTTAAATAATAAAAAGAGATTTGCAAGAATTTTCAATTCTGTTTTCTCTGTAGGTAATGTTATTTGGATATTGCAAGTTAGTAAATAGGCCTCGTGTATAAATGAAAAGACTTACAAATCCAAAAGGTACAATTAAATTTAGGACAAACTGTAAGAGCTTGTGCAAACCATTATTCACTTTGTGCGAAGATTATTCTAATAAGTACATTAGGAAGAAAAATAGTGCACTTAATCTAAAATCTAATTGAAGTAAACAGTTTCACTTCTAAACTATTATATTTACTACTTATTTACTATTATACAGATACTTTTAACAGTTGGAAAAAGTCTGAACCTATTTATAATATAATGAGAATAGAGCTGAATTTACATTTTATTGGAACTAGTAGTTTGATCACTTTTGATTTCATGTTTTTAAGGTATGTTCTTTATACAATAGTGCTATCTCTGTAAATTTTACGTTTGCATATGTGGTTTATTTTTTTACTGCTGGTATGGCAAGTTCAGTGAACAGACATTTGGTTTTTGAAAATACCATGTGAAAAGCCAATTTATGCTTTTTGTTTGTTTTTCTTTTTAACAGGCACATCAGCCAAGACTGCACAAAAATATCCCTTCTGTGAATTCCAAACTAAAGATTGTTAAACATCTGATAAGGTTTGTTAACGATTGTTTAATTCAGAACATTTAATGCAACTTTTTTGTCGCAAAACTTTACTTAGCAAACTCTTTTGCCCATAGAGTGCAGCCACTGAAGCTTCCTCACGGGTTGCCAACTGAAGAGGAGATGTCGGACACCTTTCTCACGAGCAAGGGAGAGCTTGTAATTAAGCGGCGCCTGAAACCTGTGGAACAGAAAGTAATTGAGTCATGAGATGTGCTGGCTGCACTTAAATATTATAAAATAATCTAATTCCCAAATTAGAGCTCCTGAATTGTGCATATGTTAACTTAGTTATTAGCCTGACTGCTACAAATGGCAAAAGTGATGCAGATGTTTAAAAGGCTTATAAAAAAATACTTGTGAACAAGTATTAAATTTAAGTGTTGTTTATCTTTGCCCAGGCTTTCTTTCCCAGGTAGTGCATTTCGCTGTTAACAGTAAAGATTTAAAATGAAGGTGCATGATTTCACCTTTTCTCCCCTAAGAAAGGATTGGCAATCGTTGCTGGAGGCAATCATGGAGCCAAAAGTCTGTCAGCTGGCCTCTTCTGCAGCCTAAGAGGCTATATCTGAACTCTCTTTGGGAGCAGCAGCAGGAGTGGTTCAAATTTTGGTAGGTTATATAACTTGTCTTTTGGGAAAGACGTTCTGTTACTGCATACATACTTGTTTCCTAATAGTAGCCTAAGAGCTATAGTCTGTGTGGAAATTAGTGCTTTTCCTGTGCTTACGCTGGAGGCTTCAGAAAGCTGGAGACCCTGAAGTATTACATATTTGTTTTAAGTTAATAAGTATGGGCCCTAAGCGCATAAAGTATGGCCTTTCACTGAAGGATCTTGAATAGTACAGTGTGCAGAGATTCCAAGAATATTTACAATTTAGAATTGTGGTCAAAATCTGAAAACCGCTGCTGTTATCGAATGATAAAGTAGTTTTCATTCCAGCGAGTGTCAGGTCTGAGTTACTGAGCCGCGAGCCTCTCCCACACTAGAGAAGCTCTAGGGGAGTTAATCTTAATGAGTGTATGTTGTAAGAAGATCAGAGAAATACAGTGGCTGAAATGAAAGTTTATCCTGTCTGCTTGCTTGCAGGGAAGAGTAATCATCAGTAAGAGTTCACAGAAATAGTGATTTCAGTACAGGGACATAAATATTAGAGTTTCTCTGTGTAGGAGAAAAGAAGAATAAGCTACAGACCTGGCATTGAAGAATTTTGTGGGTCTTACACGCAGGCCAAAGGCAGAAATGCAAAGTTTAGTGAAAAAAATCTCAGTTTCTCAACAAGCTGCAGTCAGTAGTTGGGTCCCCCTCACTGCAGCCTGGTGAATCCCCAGTGCTGTCATACCCAGTATGTGTGCAGGTAGGAGATCTGACTCCCTGTGGGTGCCACAGGCTACCACAACACGGCCATATGAACTGAAAAGCATTATTAATGAAGAGAAAATTAGGGGCAAGCTTGGTGCTGTGCACAATTTAAAATGGGTGTCATTATCTGTCCGGTTAGAGCTAATCCTAAAGTACAGAGAATGGAAAATGCTTCAGATGGTGTCTGTATTTCTGGGTAAGATTAGCTATGAGACGCATTATCTTACATTGACAAGCTGGCAGATTTCATGAAAAAAATGAAATTGTGTTTTCTTAAGATTCTTAATGTGTTTGTAAGCTTGGGTATTTTAGTTTCTGTGTACTCCTCTCCCAGGACTATCTTACAGTCAATCCATCATGACTGTATTTTCCAAGTATTTTCCGTATTTTCCAAGTATTTTCCTTCTCTACATAACATACCTTCACCAAAGATTTGCCCCTTGTGTCTGAAGCCTGACTCAACTAGAGTGCACAAACATCGTGTGTGTGTGTGCCTGGAGCAAAGCATTGCCCTTCATGTCACTCA